CACGCTGCTGCACCTGGCGGCGGGAGGGTGAGTGCGGGCCGGCGCAGAGGGCCCCTGCCCCGCGGGGCTCCGCGCCCTTCCCAGTCGCCGCGTCGTGCCCGTGGAGCGCCCCGCGCGCGGGGACAGGGCAAGGGCAAGGGCAGCTCCTGTCCCTCGGCGGCCAGCCCCCGGGGCCCTGGGCTCTTGACGAAGTCGGGCGCTGGCCACAAAAGCTCGTGCCTCTCTGGCCCCCTTAGTCTCCACGTCCCCCTGCCCTGCCTGCGGCTGTCCGGGGCGCCCTGGCCACGGGTGTCCTCTGGCGCCCTTCAAGGACTCTTCCCCACCTGCCCCGTCTGCGAGCAGAGGGAGACCCTGGCGCATGCCCACCTCGAGTGCACTGGGCAAAAGATCGCGATATACCTGACCAGGAAGGAGGCTGTGGGCAAAGGGACCCCTGGGGACTGTGGGGCCACTACTGGCCCTGGTGCATTGACATCTCTGGGCAGAGTTTCCCTGGCCCCATGGATGTGTTCAAGGGCCAGTAGGTGCTGTCTATTGTGCCCTGTTCCGTGTCCCCCCTTGGTGCACTTATTACGAACCTTTGGCCTTTACTCCTGTCCCTGTTTTATCTTTTATTTGTCCCAAGCAGTCAGGGATGTGCCCTTAGTGGCCCCCCTCATCAAGTGAGGCTTATAGCTTTATTTGGTGGGCTTTGGCCCACATCTGGAATGGCACATCAAAAGGCCTGACTTCAGACACGTTTGACCCACCACCTCTGTCCCTATTACCATGGGTGTGTTTGTGGGAGGGGGGTGTTGTTTTCCTCAGCAGGTAATTTGCATTTACCTTTGAATCTCCCTCTCCCCAGCATACCCTGACCCTGCTCAGTCTTAATTTGGGAGTACACCCACATCTCCAGTATTCCCTTACAGAGTACACCTCCATGCCTCACCTGTTTCTCACCCTCTGTTTTTGGAGTGCATCCCCTTGTATGACTTTTTTATGCTTCCTGAATGCCTGATACCTCCTACACTTCTGAGCTATAAACCACAATAGTTTATAGCCTAGAAGTGTAGGAAGCATCTCCAACACCCGTGATTCTCAATGAGGGTGCCAGGGCACCCTGGCCAGCAGCTAGTTGTTGACCCAGCTGGTTTCAGGT